AAAACTCGAAACATTTTCAATAAAAGTTGTAAGATACAGAAAAACTTGAAACATTAACTATAGTTAAAACATTTTTTACAGTTAAAATTAGAGTTTCTACGCATAAACAAGCTCTTTGGTCAACAGACAGGAAAACCAAATTTTCGGTGTAAAAAATTGAGATTTTACTTTTGGTCCCATTGTGGGAACAGACACTGAAGTTGGAGCACCACACTTAATTCACTATTCTACTAAGAGTTTCCAATGTAAACAAATGGCAGCCTCATTAGGCCTAGTGCCACTTAAACTTTTAAATTGTTGATAATTCTAAAATTATTGCGTGCAGATTAACTAAAGGCATAAAATCCTTAACCAAAACATAAGAACTATATTATTCAACCACTTTTTAAGGCAAAAAATACATAATTTACCAACATATAAGAATGAAAATACCGAGTTCATCGAGCTGGGTAACAGGGCGGAAATATATATACTAAAAAATAATTGATTATATTATTACTTTGCAGCTATTGCGCAAGTATTAGAAAAACTTGTTTTCGAATTCAATGAATTTTAGATCATTCAATATATATATAATCACAACGACTTTTAAGCGGAAGCATTAAGAATTTTCTTTTTACCTTATATATATATAACTAATTTTATATCATGACGAAAATTACTTGGTTTATTAATTGCACTTTCACTTTTAATTATACATTTTTAATATTTCCATTTTAAATTTATTCAATATTCAATTTTTTAAATATGCTTCTGAGTTACTTAATTTCAATAGAATTCTAACTACTTTAGTCGAAGGAGATAATATACTAAATAATCTAAAGAAAATAAATTATTATTTTATTACTTTGCAGCTTTAGCGCAAATATTAGGCAATCTATTGCGATTAATGAAATTATTTACTTGTATATATATACCGACATCTCACTAGAAAGAACTAAGTCAATTATAATGCATTTTCTGGCCCTTTAAATATCTTCATGTACATTTCACATTTTACTTTCTTATTATATATATTTCAATTTTGCAACTTTTATTAGTTATTTGTTTTTGCAAAGATAGCATTGTTATGTTACTTTCTTATTTTTCTCGTGAATATTTCAATTACTTTGAATTTCAAATACTTCGAGTTCTATTTCATAATTCCAATTAAGATTACCATTGTTTAATTTTTATACAAATAGTTTAGAATTAACATGCATAAAAGCGAAGGTATCGGGGAACATTTACTTAAGTATTTTGTAAATTTTACTACATAAATTGATTTTCCCTCAAAATTTATAAAGAATCTTGTATTAGCGAAAATGCTTAATTCAGAACGAGTTCTTTGGTACTCTACTTTGGTTCTAAATCCCATCACTTCACGGAACAACAATTTTTGTCTAACTTTATTATTGTTAGACAGGTGAAAACTTTATTATTTGCCAGTTTGGCATCACCATTCTTATTTGAGTAAAAGACGAAACACCTTCGCATTTATTAATTATTGTTCATTGAACGGGAGTTGATTTGTTCCCCTTGAAAAGTTCAATTAATTTACGATCAATAACGATAATTACTTGTTCTTTTAATTTTTAATTTCTTTTGTCAAAGTTTGAAATTTTGTTATTCACATGATTTAAATTGAACGTTCTCCTTAAAACTTTTTTTTATGATTTACATTCAAGTTACTTTAAAACACAATTTTCGGAATTAACTTCCTACATATGGTTCCCTCTTTTTTGATACTACTACTAAATTTATATTAGGAGATAATATAATGAATATTTTTTTAGTAAAGAAATTATATATATATATATGTATTTAGTGCGGCCGATTGCAGCGAAAAAGGTAGTTGCACAACTACGTGTTATAATAGTCCCATATACAAAATTTCAACGTTCTGCGCCTACCCGTTTTTGATTTATGCTTAAGATACGTACCACGTATACCACGTATACGTACAGACGTCAGAGAAAAAAAAATATCCTCTGAATCCATTTTAAGTCCATTTTACAATCTAGTTTGGAAAAAAAGTCCTGTATTCTGTCCAAACGTACAGATGTCACGCAAAAAAAAAAAAAAAAAAAAAAAAAAAAAAAAAATCATTCAAGTGTACCTGAGAGCGGTCAAAATGGTTGTTTTCGTTGAAATATGATACCCGAAATTTTTCGCGATTACAATACATCCTTTGCTTCATACAAGAAAGTAGAAAAGAAGACACAAGATCTTTGTTGGAGAGAAATCCATACCTTAACATTACTGACAATTATTACATTTTGACAAGGCAGAAACTTCTAGAAAAGCATTTATTACAAACTGTGTAGGAAATGATTGTAGAAATAAAAGATCACTTATTTTGGAATAAATTGCTTTTAAAATTTATGCTATATAAGCAGATTTTAGGAAGACGCTTTTATTTGCATGTACTGGATTTATCATTCAAGTTAACTCTGATTTTAAGAGGTTTGTTTCAGATAATGATTTAAACTATGGTTTTCCAGGTCAGTATTGACCACCAGGCGGTCGATAAAATTTTAAAGGGGGTCCTTGATGATCGAGAGGTCGATAACCGAATATGCTATGAGAATCGATTGGCCTAATAAATATACCTTTATTTACCAAAAAAAAATATATATTAATACTGTGAAATTGGTAAATTAATCATGTATTGAAATAAAACTATATCATCTAGTAAGGAAGAAATCACAAAACTTATTTAATATTTTTTTTAAATCTATAGCAATTTTTATTTTAATACATAAATTTTATGCAAATATTTAATATAAAAAAGGAAAACGCAGGAACGCAAGAAAACACAACCAAAAAAGTGCGAAGAACGCAAAACTTCATCAGAAGATGTATCGTTATACACAAGCCGCCTACAAAATTAAAAAAAAAAAAAAAAAAAAAGTATTCTCTTTCAAACTCATTGAAAATTTTACTGTGCAAGCTTGGCTCAGAAAACGGCTGAATTTTGCATCCTGTATTTGATCTTGATATTATGACACACGAAGAATTTAGTGCATTGAAAGAGGATGTTCAAGCACAAGTCGTATTCAAAACACATGGGTAGGCTAAATTTTGGAATTCAAAAGTCATCCGAGAGAAATATTTCAAAATAAAAGTTTTTACTGAATAACATTATTGACTTTTTCTTCTTCATGCTTGGTAGAAGCAGGTTTTAGTTAAGACAATAATTTGCTACGGAAAACAAGAAATGGGTGGAAAATTTTTGAGAGAGATAATTCAAGAATTAAGTTAAGCTGTTTGTAGAGACATTAGGTTAATTGGAAGCAGAAAAGATGAAAAATATGTAATTGCCTTCGCCGGGAATCGAAGCACGGACCTCTGGAATACCGGCCCAGCGTGCTACCGTTACACCACGAAGGCACGCTAGGGAAGTGGGAGAAATACCTTATATACTCCCCTTTTTAAAGGGCGACTAGGGTTTTAGGGGACCTAGTCGCCAAATCCTGGGTGCGGAGAATCATCATCCAGAAACCTGTTAGTTCGGGCGCCACTTGTAGAGTCATTAGGTTAATTGGAAGCAGAAAAGATGAAAAATAGGCAACCGCTTTCGCCGGGAATCGAACCACGGACCTCTGGAATACCGGCCCAGCGTGCTACCGTTACACCACGGAGGCACGCTAGAGAAGTGGGAGAAATACTTTAAAAGTTTTGTGCAAAATATTTTTAAAATACATGAGTACATCAAGCAAACATTAATTAATTAATTAAAATTAATTGAAACTGTAATTTTTGTCCAACGAAAATCTGCTATTTTGTTTTTGAAAATCTGTTTATATTTTCAAATAAAAAAATAATAATACAAAATATAACAAAACATGACTTTAATAAACCACTTTTTTTCCAAAACTTTTGATCATATTCTTTGTCTAATTATTATCATTAACTATAACTAGGTTATAGTAAATATATGCATTATGATTATGTTGAATACAATATGCTTACCTTATAATAATGTTCTATGTATGTCATAGGGGAAAATGTAAGGGTCCTATGAAAAAAAAAAAAAAGCATTCTTTTAAAAATGGTCGGTGTAAGAAAAGGTTGGAAATCCCTAGTTTAAACAATTTATATATCACTTTAGAAATATTCTAAAATTTAACTTATATTTTCTAATTATCATTTGAATATTACTATAGATATGAAATTTAAAAGATTTCTAGAAAATGACGCCAATATAAGGTTTTTGAAAAGTAATATATTTAAGAGTGTTTATAGATAATAAAAGTACTGGATTTTTAAAAAAAATCTGCGAATTTATGGTAAATTTTTAAATTTATATCAAGTTAAAAATTCCTTAGTTTTTCTCCTTTCTAAAAATGCCTTACATATACCTTAAAACAAGCACATCCTGAAAAATTATAAATATTAAATTATAATTTTTTTAATGTTTAAATGTTGTTCTCAAGATTTATAGCATTCAAAATTTAGTTTGTTTCATAAATAAAATTTCTCATACAAGTTTAATTTATTCCTCTATTCTAATGGTGTGGCTTCTGCGAAAAACTTCATTTTCAGAGAAATTCTGGAGACAGTCATTTACAAAACGTCAATAAATTAAAATGCTAACTTATAACATGCATTGATAATCACAGAGCATCGAGTCAGCATAACCTGTTACCCAAAAAAGAGACAGATAAAACTGCCTAAGCATGTCGTATTCCTTTTGCTTGATGTATTATCATTTTAGAAGAGAGAGATGTTCTCGTTTGTATATTTGCCAGGCGGATTAAACGCGAATGATTTCGAATTTGAGGTGAGAATCTATTTGGTGTCAATCACCTTCACTCGGGTGTGACATTAATAACCATTTCTAAACCTGCTTTTTCTTTACATGAAGGAGACAGAGGATATTATCCAATTTTCTCCCCCTCAATGCAGGGGAAAAATCCCACATCACCTGGCATTGTGACGTCACGCGTGGTTCTTCTCCCTTTCCCACTCCCCTATCCAATCAAATTGTAGTCTCGATATACCTTGCGTCTCGGCATCAGACACTCACTGATCCGACGGCAAGACCGGTTTGGCGTATGTTCCTTCCTCCGCTCAGGGTATTTGCCTCCTCTTTCCAAATCGGCTCGTTGTTTGGGAACGTATTTGTATTACCATCTGAGGAATGACCAGTGTCCATTTAAGGATGTAGGCGACTCCTAACTTCCTGCATTGCAATCCTAGAAGACGCCTCGCTTGCGACACTTCCACGTGTTGAGGAATGTTGTGTCAATGACTGTCTGGTCGTGTGATAAGTGCGCGGGATCTGTTATTGTGATTATTGTGAAAACACCCGCCACATCGTTATCACAAAAATGCGAGGGAGTATTGTGCTCATGCAGGAGGTACTGTTTGATTCTCCTTTTATATTAGTTTCAATATTTAATTTTTGACATTAATTTAATTTAAATGCTCAAGATCTACTATAACAGAAGAGAGCCAAAGATTATGGTTGCTGCTAATAAAAGTTTCGTAATTGTTGCTTGATTAATGATTCGCAAAGATAGCAAGATTTTCTTCGAAAGTACTGATAATTATTATAAGTATATAACATTATAAGTGGCTGAATCATTTACTGATCAAGCAAATCTAATTTTAAAAACTTTGCTTAGATTGTGTGTCAATATAACAATTTGCTTTGTTTTGGTTCAATTTTTTAGAGTTTTTAAAATTGACCTTAGAACTATTGTCTTAAAACGCAGAGCGAACTCCGTTAAATTCTTTAAGGGAAAATTCTGAAAGGCATGAAAAATAAGAATGAAATTGTGTATGCACTGTGTTTGGCTAGTAAAGATTATGTATGTGAGCCTGAATTTTAGATAAATTTCAAAAAGTTCTTAATTTCTTCAATTACATTGCTTTAGGAAGAATGCAACAGAAAAATTCAAACCGATACTGCGTTATAGCAAAAAAATTACTAAATGGAAATGTGGAATAAAAAAAATTGATGAATTCTAAAATGCTTTTTCTCCTCTCGTCTTGGTTAATCAATAAGGTAATGTTAATGCATCATTCTTAAGAATAATTAATTCATTATATTTTGTCTTGATCGCTATTAGAATAAAATAGAAGTTATTTATAAATCGACAAGGAAGCAATAAATGCCACGATAGCTTATTTCCTCCAGCAAAAGCATATACATTTTCAGGAAATGTAAGAAACTTTTTTATAATTCACATAAAAATTTTGCATAATCGAGTAGCTATTGTTTTCTGTTCAAAGCTGCTGTCTGAACTGGACTGCAAAATATCTACTGGATATTTTCTAGATTTACTAGTCATGCTTATATATCTATTGGTTCAGAATTACTTTTAACAGATACGAAACGCTGTGTGTAGCGTTAAAAGTTCCTTAAAATACGAATTCCTAACTGAAACAAATTTTGCAACTGTTACTATTCTCACCGCAGTTTGCATTGTGGTTGCTGCACTGATAAATAAAATTCCGGAGTAGTCTTAGCGACAGACAGGAAAACTCTGTGGACTTGAACCCTGCTTTTTTTTTATCTTTGTTGTTCTAAAGAGGGGGACCAAACGAAGTAGGGAAGAAAGTGTTGAGTCCTATCGACTAGAAGCATCCGGCCATCTGCTGACGGCGCTTAGTTCGTCGGGGGAGTCGGATTTAGAAGACCATATCTGTGCATTTCTATTTCGGGGTGTTACAAGTCGCCGTTTTTAGTCTCGTAGTAGCGTTATATTAGGACGATCAACAGGTGTAGAAATTATTTGCTTGAGATGTCACCACTTCTGCATTACTAATACATCTTTGTTCCTCGTGGAGTATTATTAAACATGGGAAATAGTGCCACAACTGTATCATTACAAGAGAGCACCAAAGAAAATGGACACAAGAAGCATTTTAAAGGAAAGGTGAGTTTAGAAAAACTATTTCTAGCTCTTTCAAAAATTTCTGTCAGTAACATGAATCGAACAATTATCGAATAACTTTTCAAAAACAGTTCCTTCACGTTTAGGGAACATTTTTTTAACATATTACTATTTGCATTATGAGTCATGAGATAAATTTTTATATAAACAAAATAGTTTTGCATCTTTTCTTATCCAAAAATAAGCAACATGTATAATGTGAAAATATTAACTTTTTAACATAATCTCCAATGCCAATGATTTAGAAGGAAATATCTAAGTATAAGATTAATTAATTATTTCATGAATTTATATTTGAGCATTATAGTAGTCTGTAAATATATACCCAGAGATTTCAAGAGCCTGTAATTACATTTTACTGTAATAAATCAGATTGTATTTCAGATAATTTAAATTTTTAGGTAATATTTAAATTTCACTTTTTTTGGTATACATGGGTTTTTCAAAAATTCCAGAAACAGGTAATTTGAGTTAAATTTGTGATATATCGATTAAAATCCCTTCAATCAGATGTAAATAAAGCAACTCGTATTTCAACAAAAAAAAAAAAAAAATATTCGTTGGTTTATTTACGTGGAATTTTATGCATTTCTAGTGTTCAGTAACGACAAAATATAAAGATGAGTAAATTTCGGGAGCTGACGAGGACATAATTTCTACAATTAGAAGTCCTGTGAAAGGCACGTCAGAAGCGATTAAATAAAAATAGAAAAAATAAGCATAAGCTATAAATAATAAATTAATTTAACTGTTAAAAGTAATTATTAAGCTAAGAGATAAATAAAAATTTTAATAAATTAGGTCAAATTAATGATAAACGGGTAAAAATTAAATTATCATAAAATTAAACAAAGTGGCTTTTAAAAATTAATAATACATTAAAATGTGTCATCAAAAGTCAATCGAAATAGTAAAACAAGTATAAGATGAATAAATTAATTCGTAAATAAATGTGAAAAGACAGGATACGTAAGATAAAAGAGAGGTTAGCATTTTAAATAGTATTCTATGCGGTCAGATGAAACTGCTTCTTAATTTTTGGCATTTAATTCATTTAAAAGCTTCTTAACCAGATCGGTGTAACCCTAAAAATTACTTTTTATGAAAAGATTATATTTCGACACGGAAATTTCCTTACTTATCCATTCGAGTTTTCCACGTATTTTGCCCTTGCCACATTCAATAAACGCAATAGTTTTATTAGCCGTTAACAAAATGTTGCCAATAACAACATAATTTTTCTGCCCATATTGACATTTAGTTCACAAGAAAGCGTCCTAGCTCGTCTAATTTAGCTCTGTGGTGCAGTTTACCTTGGATTAGACTTCAGATTCAAAAATTCAGAAGTATCGGAGTCCTCTTCGCAGGTTCGGGCAGATTTTAATTTTAAGCTCGTGGACTTACTGTCAGTATTTTTTTTTTTTTTTTTTTATATCTAATTGTAAGTGGTAACTGCTTAACATTCTCAACATTCATTCATTCATTACCAGCGAAACCAAATGCAATAAATCATTAGAAACAATAAAAATAAAATTATTGTCGCACGAACAACAGATTAAGTAACAAATGTGAAATATGCTTGCATATAATCTCTCTAGAAAAATCTTCTGTGTTTTTCTGTTAAAAGAAAAAGCATACTTATCATTAAATTTATGGTTTTAGTAGTAATTAGTAAAGTAATACTTACGCTTATGAGAATTTTATTCATTATTGCTTATTATTGCTTATGAGAATTTTATTCAGATTGTTTGCTATAAAACTATAATGAAATAATAATTTTATTTTTATTTTGCTCATAAAGTGTACGCGATGCTGATATCTCTTCAGTGCTGAACGAAAAAAAAAAAAAAGCACTCAAAAGCATTTTCTTCTTTTCGAGAATAATAGGGATTAAACGCCTCCCCACTCCCAAATGTAAATTTTTTCCACCCTTTTTACCCGGGAGGGGGTGTTTTTAAATCGATAAAATTGTAGAGTTGTTTGAATTTTTTTGAAGCAGGAGTCATGAAAAATGTGCAATGCCCTCGCCAGGATTCGAACCACGGACCAAGAATTCGCATCGAGCGTGCTGACCAATGCATCACGAAGGCATACTAAGAAGGCGGGAGAAATATCTTGTAAAATTGGAAGTGTTTGTCTTTAAAGTGAATATGATGTTGAAAAATTTTTAATTACCTTAAGCAGTGTTATCGGATTTTGTAAAGTTTAACGATATTCTCTTTTAAATTTATAAAATTTGTTGGTAATACCATACCGAAAGTAATGGGTATAGGAAATATGAACTGTTGCTAAAGTCACTTCTTGAGTTCAGAAGCATCTTCCCCCCGAATCAGTAATGTTTCTGAAATATTATAAGGAGGTTAAAAAAAAATTAAAAATTAGGCATTTCAAAGTCTCAAATAATCCTGATAAAAAGGCAAATAAATAAGCAATTAATGTTTTCAAGAAAATGCGCGATTGCTGATGAACAAGCAAATAAGCGATTAGTGTTTTCTAAAATACACGGAAATTTCTTTTTTTTTTTTACTCCCGTTCTGTATAATCTTATTGCTTTTTATCCTACTTGCCTATAATTTCTAAGGATTAGCCGGATTAAGTCTATAATGTTGGTTTTTAACCAATGTGTAATTTCTGAATGCTATTTAAACGACGGGATTAATCATATTTATGCTATACTTGTTTGACTTATTTGTATTTATATATTGTTGTTATTATTATCAGATTAAACAAATTAAATTGTAATAGGTATTCTCTTCTGAAGATTTTTATTTTGTTTATATATTTATTTATTTTGGGGGTAAGGAGTTAAAGAAATGTTTGAAGTAACCCCCTATACTGCGCAATCTCCAAGCGCCGATAAAGGGGGATACGAGCATGTGTAGCAAAAAATCTTGCTTTACGTAAAGTTGGATTTCGCAGATATACTCCAGTCTACCTTCCTGTCCCAAATGACTCGGCTTTTGGCATTTTGCCACGAGTCATAAATTTCTTAATATGGTTCCAAGCTATAATTCGTACTTCAACAACGTTCCGTCCAGAGCCAAGTCCTCAAGGTTGACTCAAATGGCCAAGGTTTTTAACCAGACTTAACCGTATGTATCGTGTTTTCGAATTTTACAAGGTCGCGGAAAGGGGAGTCGATCAATCTGGTATTTCTGCTCTTCGAAATACATTTTTAGTTTTGCATTCTGCAACAGTTGGCGGAAAATTGCATATTAAATTATGAGCATTCGTTGTTGTGCGCTTGTTAGCGTAAAAAGCGTTCAGCATCAGGTTCTTCGAAACTACTAATAGAGTTGCGATTAACTGTTTCGACTGCAATTGTATTCGATCTTGATCACTTCAAGAATATCGTATTGGATTATTGCTACGAAAGGTATATATATATATATGTGTGTGTGTGTGTGTGTATTTTACTTACAGAATACTTAAACCACTGGACAACTGATTGACAATGAAATTGAAAACTGTTCCTCCGATTTATATTTTATTTCTATTAATCTTTGTTTTAAACTACTTTTTTTTTTTTTTTTTTAAAGTTAAAAAAACCCTATAAGAACGCTGCTGAAATAATGCGAGAGAAACACAATTGCTTTAGATTTAGGCAAAAATAGGTTATACATAGATTAGTTTTTTTTAAAGCAAAGTTGTATGCACATCATACTATTCTGATGAATTTGATGATTTTTCTTTTGAATCCGGGTTTATTATTTTTAATCATTCTGTCTGAGTCTCATCGTAAGCGAATAAACATTCTCATCGTTTAAAAAAGTCCCACGTGGCATTCTTTAAAAATGCAGACAACTTTCTCTTTCGAAAACCTATCTGGAAGTGAAGTTTTATCCTAAATTTAAGCAGTGGTAGTTAGCCAACAAACGAGATGTATAGCTGATTGCCAGTATGAGCTATCTGGAGAAGGTGTGTAAAATTCGAATTCTTGTTTTCGGAACGTAATACTGAAGGTTATATCCGATGTCAGTAATTTTCAACTAGTTTGAACCTCAAGATTTCACTTATTCAACATAAATTTTGTAGCGTAAAGTCAAATAGGCAAAAATATGTATCAATCTACAGGCGACATCCAGTTTCTGAGGGGAGGATTATTACAGAACATTCCAGGAAAATTGTCCGAGTTTTCTTTTCATGTTTATTTCTAGGTATGTGCTAATCAATTTACATTGTAAAGATCTTGTTGGACAAATTCTGACGAAGTAAGATTTTTTTATACTTTGTGTCATACATAATTCTAAAATTAAAATATTTTACAGAAAGAGTTTTGTTAAGGCACTTGTTGCATTTAATTCTTAGCAAATAATATATTTTATAGTGCTGTTTGCAAACCTCAAATTAAAATAAATATAATGTAATTAAACCTGATGTCTTATGTTCAGGTATTCATCGATTGCATATCAAAAGGAAATGTTGTGTTTTTGCATGGAAATATTAATGTGCTGTTTTAGCTAGCAGTCAAGTGCAAGGCTAAATTTTTTATTCTTGATGGACATACAAAATAATTTACTAGAAGTGAAACTATTAGTGAGCTGATCGTGGGTGGTACAAAATTATTCTTTTTGATATACCAGTAAGATCACCTCTTCTACCCTACACCTACAGACGCAGGTGTATCTTCGCAAAAGGATTAATATTTACACACGTCAAGGAATGCGCTCTCTTAACCTTCTTCTGAATGTTGTATGATTTGTTTGATTGCTGTTGTACGAAAGATGAATTATACGCTGCATTTAAAATTACAAAAGACCTACCTATCCGACATGTTTTATGGAAATATCCTCCTTTAATGATATTTTTTTTTTTTTTTTTTTTTTTTTTTTTTTTTTTTTTGCAAAGAGAAATAAAGGTAGTCCTTGATCCTGACACAGGATATTAGAAACTAAACCTACTAAATATTGTTTTTCTGATTATTTTTATTCTTTTTTTTACATAGTTATTTTTTACATTTTATTTACATGGTTATACATATT